CAAATTTGCAAATGGGAGACAAAGTCCTTATCCATGAGCATGTTTGCGCCAGTGTCTCAAAAAAATGGAATAAAGCATGTGACAGCCAAGCAACTAACATTTTCTAAACGAGAGGCTAGGCAGGGCAGCCTACATGTTTTTGACAGGTTTGAAGTTAAAGGAGAACTATGAGGTGAGTGCTTTTCACTCACCTCATAGTTCTAGCCGACCTGTGACAATGAGACTGTCACAGGTCGGCTCAGTAGATCGGGAGGTGAGCGAACACATACCGGCGTTCGCTCACCTCTCGATCCTGTCACGGCTCTCTGCCGTGACAGGGGAGGGGCTGGATTCCCCCCTCCCCGCTCCGATCCGCCAGCGCTGACTGGCGGAACAGACGGGGGAGGGGGCGGGTACAGCTGGCTCTGCCTCTAGATAGGCAGAGCCAGCTGTCGGTCACGCAGCTGGGTGGATCCCGGCACAATTGTCGGGATCCGCTTCAGCTGCGGCGTCTCAGTATACCGCGAGCAGCTGCTTGCGGTATACTGGGGCGTCTCAGTACAGCAGCTGGGCGGATCCAGACATAATTGTCGGGATCCGCTTCAGCTGCGGCATCTCAGTATACCGCGAGCTACATCTCGCGGTATACTGAGCCTAGGGTGACGGGAGGACACTAGTTTGTGTCCTCCCGTTACCCTAAGGAGAACTATGGGGAAAAGCCTTAACCCCATAGTTCTCCTTTAGTTCTCCTTTAAGAGGCTATACCCCTTTAAGAGGCTATACCCAATCTATTGAGCAGGAAGACCAGTTGCAGCGCCTTTATTTTTAAATGATGTTTAGAGCTTGAGGCGTGATAACTTGATTCTCTGCTTGGCAGAATTGGCAAACATAGTGTATGTGTTTGAAAATGCAGACATGGTACAACTCTTGATTTTGGGCTTATGTCTGTATGTGCCTGGGCACTGTTTGAGTCGCATGAAAGTGCCAACAATCCTGCTGATCTTAGTAGGGGTCTGTCTGCAGCATGTTAGGGAGTTTAGCTACATACAGTATGCTACAATGAAAGTCACATTGTATGAAGGATTAATCCTTGACACTCAGCTTCCTTTATCTACCAGAGACCACAGAAACAAAAAAAATTGCTTTTCGAGAGAGGAATAATTGTTTTTGGTTTTTTTTTGGCCGAAAAGATTCTGCATGTCTCTTCTGCCAAACATCCTGACCTCCTAGCGATTTTTTTTTTTTTAACTGACTTTACTTGCGCTTTCATTGTATTTTTAAATACTTGTCTAAGGGCTAGTTCACACCAGATGCAATTGTGATGCAGTCCGTTCAGTTTGGCTGCTGCAGCCAAAATACATCACAATGCTTTCCTATGGGTTTTCTTGTGCTGTATTCACACCATTGCAGTCCATTCAGATGCAGTCAGAAAAAATACTGCTCGTCCTATTTTAGCTGCATCTAATCGCACCGGAACGCATCAAAAATGCATGCAAACGCATCAAAATGGAATGCAACCACACAAAAAAAACCACAATTGATTGTGTCATCATCCAGGGACTTCCTCTTTGTAGGTGCAGCCAACACTATCGCCATACCTGCAAACAAGGCAAGCATATCTGAGCTCCAAAGCAAACAAAGGATATGCTCTGACAGAAAAAAGGAAGTGACCAAATTGTCTAATTAGCATTTTACTAAAAAAAACAAACGCATCACAAACATGTCAAAACGGATCGCAATGCAACTGCGCAGACGCACGCAGTTGTGATGCAGTTTCTGGTGTGAACTAACATTTAAGCTGGCCATACACTGCTTAGATTTTAAAAAGAACTTTAGCTCGAAAGAACTTTCTTTCAACTTTTTATTAGTTGATGGGGGTCAAATCGATGATCGAATTAGACTGCAGTGACAGAGTAGGATGAAAAAAAAATTCTCAAACGAACAAAATTCTAATCGTGAATGTGGTTTTTGTTTGAAAAACTCCATTCATTCCAACTTCAAATCTTAAAGTCAAATAACATTTCTGTGGACATTCGTCAAGTTTCTGATGGTATTATCATGTGGTGAAGAAAGATCTTTCGTATGAACGTTCATTTAGAAAGCTACTAGTGTATGGCCAGCTTTAGTACCTAAATTTGGCTTGGTATCATCCCCTTGCAATCCCCTTTTACAGCAAAGCTTAAACTGGAAGGGGCAGAAGCAGCAAAAATGAACTTAATTGTCAGCACATGAACATTCACTTTCCTCTCAGCTTGTTCTTTGGTTATGCTGCAGAGTGACTAAGATAAGCTCATCAATCTACTTCTCCCTTACTTTCCAATCACAGGCGTTGGGCACAGAAAAGACCTAGTTGTACTAACTGCAGTAGAGAAAAGTCAGATCTCAGGCTGGCTGTGCTGTGTGAGGCTATGTAAATATCAGGAATGAAGGGAAATCAGTGTAAATCCTTTCACGGGTAAAACAGCCTCTTGGTATTTAAGCTGTTTGCCTGGAGTTCAGCAGTAAAGGTTAAAAACTATATAAAATCAAAGTCTAATTTTTACCTTTTGTATATTCAGGGTACAAGTGAGAAGGACCGACCCTGCCTGACTTGTGGGAAGAACTTGGCAGACTGTTTAGGTCACTATGGTTACCTTGATTTGGAGTTACCTTGCTTCCATGTAGGATACTTTAAAGCGGTTATTGGAATTTTACAGGTGAGAATCTTTTTTTTTTTTTTTCTAATGGATTGAATAGATTGCATTTATTTTTTGCTTTATTTACCTTTTTAAAGACATTTGTAATGAACAAAAGAAAATAGGAAACATACACACTTTACATCCCAGCTTCTCATGCCATCCTGGGTAAACGGGATCGCAAATCTCCAGAGAATGCTGTGCAGAGCACATTCTCAGGGATTTTGAAATCCACAACTTTTCCAGGATGATGAGTCAAGGTCCAATCAGGTCATTCTAACCTAAGGAGAATGCTGGAAGCTGCGATGTAAGGATAAGTGTTTTTTAGTATTATTTAGTTGTAAAAATTTAGAATAATGTAGTTTACCAGTCCTTTGATTTGTTGCCATTCATTTTAGGTTAAGAACATGTTCAGCAATTGCAGAAAATACCAGATTATCTTGTTGAAATATGGTGTCCTTGTCGCTTCCTGTGAACTGAGCTAATATTATAAGTGTTATACTTTCAAACTACCTTCTGTAAACTATGTATTCGACTCCCCATGTAATACTGATAAGTGAAGGAAGACATGTTTGTAGTCCAGGAGAGCAGCCTGGGTGCCAACCATACCTCCCTCCTTGGATACAGTGCAGTGAGTGGTCCGTGTAGCCACCCAAGGACAGGAAGTTTGTTATTTGAAGGATTACCAGGTAAAGCCTGAGCAAAAGAAAACTAATGTAGCCACCACATGTAACAACTGTTAAGCTGCAATATATTTTTTCTTTTTTTTGTGTTAGTGACTTGCGCTGCTTTTTTTTCCTTTTAGATGATCTGTAAAACTTGTTCCCACATTATGCTGACAGCAGAAGAGAGGAAACAGTTTTTGGACTTCCTAAAGAAGCCAGGTCTCACTTACCTGCAGAAGAGGAGCTTAAAGAAGAAAATTTCTGATAAATGTCGCAAGAAGACAATTTGTCTGCATTGCGGTGCCTTTAATGGTACAGAATTCTGGATCTCTTTCTTGACATCTTTTATTGTCCCACTTTTTTTGGAGTTGTTTTTAAGTGTTAAACTGGTAAATGTGTGCTTGTGCATGAATGGGCGAATTCAGGCTGAATGATTTTTTTTACCCCTGAGTGATTCATAACACAATAGTACGCCCAGTCATACAATATTTATCTGGACATGCATTTGGACTCTTTGAAATAGTTATGTGGAGGGAAGGACTATAAACTGATCCTTGCATTGGAGGTTGTGAGGCAGAGGGTGCTAATCTTAAACCATGTTGAAAAGAGTCAGAATTGGAGTCAATCCTAGACCATAACAAAAGAAAGGAGGCAAGCTGTTTGTTTAACATGGACTAGGGTGGTGAGGAGAGAAGGCAGAAAAGGTGATCATAAAGGAAGCAAAGTGGAAACTGATCTTGATAGGGTGGGGAGCGACAGGTTACAGTGGAACGTTGGGAGAGGCAAACTGGTAGCTGACTGAGGAGGGTAAAGAGAGAAAGCATGAGATAATCAAGGAAAGCAGAGGTAAAAGAATGGAGGCAGAAAAGAGATAATCATGGACTGGGGGTAGAGAAAAGAATAAGATCTGCTTGTACAGGGGAGGGGGGAGGCTGGTTTTTTTTATCATGGACCACTGAAAGAATAGGTAGGGTGGGACAGAGCATATCTAAGTGGTATAGGAGAAGAAGATTGTAACTAATAGGGGGGCAGAGCAAGAGCTGACCATGGACGGGCAAAATAAGATTATTGGTGAAGGGTAGAGGACAGAGAGAGAGAGAGAGAGAGAGAGACTGGCAGTTTGTGTTCACCCTGGCGGAGTATACATAGGAAGACGTTGTCAAGGATTGGTGGGTAAAAGAGCATAGCTGAGAGGATTGTGGGGAGGGCCACGTATGACCTGTCGTTTCCCTCCCTTTTTGAAGAAAATTGGGAGTTCTTACCCATCTAACATGGTGTTGTGGTGCAACTGTTTGCTTTAGCCATGACGCACCTCTGACAATGGGTAGGGCTTAGCTAAAGAGGTGTGGCTTAGTGGGAAGGGGTAAGGCTTATTGTCTGACATTTTAGTATTTGCTTGGAAGTTTGTTTCCATTATGGCAACCAGGGCACAGTGATAACAGTGTTCAGATACAACATACCACAGAATTGCCTTGTGAAGAGTAAGAAACTGTTAGTAAAACACAGAAGTCACATGTCTGAGTTTGTGATTGCGTATTGCTGACTTGAACAGATGGTATTGTGGAGTGCTCTGTGAACAGATGCAGACATGTTTAGTGTGGCAGCGAGGATGGATAGAGACTGTAGTGTGCTCAGTATGTGTAGAGCTTCCAGAGATAGTAGTGAAGATCGATGGAGATGCTGGTATAAAACATATTGTGCTGGTGCTAGAGTTGTTAGGGGGTGGACAATGGAGTACAAGATGGTGGGGAAAGGGGGGTTTGTACAGTAAATATGGAATGTTGCATATTGTGTATTCTTCTTTTGAGCCAGCAGGTTCAGCTTTAAAATGTTCATGCTTTTCTGTATAAAAAAATGTTTTACTGGACTCAATATCTCAAGCTGAAATTTACATGTACGTACGTGAGTGAACGACTCATCACAGAGACTACACTTTATCAGACAATTGTCTAAGATTTCAGTTAGAGAGCCTAAAAGCTGGTAGCTTCTCCTGTCTCGCTGTCTCTTTAGATAACAGAGGGGGAAATTTATAAAAACTGGAGCAGACAAAATCTGTAGCAGATGTGCATGGCAACCAATCAGCTTCTCTCTTCAGTTTGTTCAATTAAGTTTTGAAAATGACAAAGAAAGGCTGATTGGTTGCCTTGCACGGCCTGTGGTTGCCTCTGTCAAATCAGACACAGATTTTGTCTGCTTCAGTTTTGATGAGTTTCCTTCATAGTGCTTTTTATCCTGTCTTTTAATGACTGTAAAATGTGTGTGTGTATACACACAAATAAAACGGTATACTAAACAAGCTGTGTAAATTCACCCAAAACCTTATAGTTTCCTTTTTAATTCATGTTTTTACAATTTCAGGTCCAGTAAAGAAGTGTGGCTTACTTAAAATTATTCATGAAAAATACAAGACCACCAAAAAAGTTATAGACCCTCTGGTGTCCCAGTTCCTACAGTCCTTTGATACTGCAATCGAGCACAACAAAGAAGTGGAAGCTTTGTTAGTGCGTGCACAGGTACGTGCAATTTAAACTTTTAAAAAAACAGTCTCCTCTTCAAACTGATTACTGCGTTTTTGTTTTGTCATATGGATATCTGAACACACTTTATTTTAGTGTATTTTACATTTTCATATTCATATCTCTACAGAGTTATGGAAAGACGGCTTTACTGAAATGTTGATGTGTATGTTGAAACGCATATTTTAGTGATGCATTGATATGCGCTAATGGCTGTTAATCCATGCAGGAAAATCTAAACCCGCTTGTGGCGCTTCATATTTTGAGACGTATCCCAGATGAAGACGTTCCTCTGTTACTTATGAACCCAGAAGCTGCTAAGCCATGTGACCTTCTTCTCACAAGGCTGCTGGTTCCTCCACTCTGTATCCGACCCTCTGTTATCAGTGACCTGAAATCTGGAACTAATGAAGATGATCTCACAATGAAGTTGACAGAAATCATATTTTTAAATGATGTTATCAAGAAGGTAACCCATCTCGCGTACTCAAATGCCTGCTTATTGATAAATAAACCTTGTCAGAAACAGTCACTGACGTTTTGAAATGTCCCGGTGTTAAGGTGCAATTTCAAATGTTGGATGTCTTTTATAGCTTTATACATTGTTGCATGCTGTAGAGTTTTTACACCCATACAGTTTTAAGTGGTGTTTTTTAATGCTCTATTGTCTTTTTTTGTTTTTGTTTTAGCATAGAATCTCAGGAGCGAAAACCCAGATGATTATTGAAGACTGGGATTTTCTACAGCTGCAGTGTGCTTTGTACATCAATAGTGAACTGTCTGGCATTCCCATGAATATGGCTCCCAAAAAATGGACACGTGGCTTTGTTCAAAGGCTAAAGGGAAAACAAGGTGAAATACTTGTTCCTAGATCCTTAATACACAAGTCCAGTTATGGGCAGGAGTGGGTAGGCCATAGCTTGTCTTTGAAAACTGAAGTCTATATTTACATAGTGCGGTTAAAAAAAAGTCGGAGCTTAACCTTTTGAGTTCCAGGATAGCAACCTGCGTGATGATTGGCTCCTCCTTCTACAGGAAACACAATTGAGAACAGTTTAAAATACCTCCCACCCCCTCTCATCCCTCAGTTTCGATTGGGTTTCCTACCATCCAGGCTGCGTCATGTTTCTTTCCTGACCAGCTGGACTATGGAATCGCTGGTCCCCCTCTGTGCTGCTCTGCTTATGGTATGGTTCCCTGAGGCTTTGCTGTAGGTGCGGAGGGTTTTCCCTGTGCTACCTCCAGGTTCTCATCTTCCTCCGTTTGAGTGGATGACTCCTGATGCCCTGGCTGAAAAGCCCTGTCTAAGCCGGTTTGTGCTGCGGATTGCTGTGTGTCCGCCTGGAGCGGGAGTCTGAGGCGGAAGGTGCACGGGGTGGAGCTGTGCATTCCAGGCCTTATTCTGGGTGCCAACGTCATTTTCAGCAGTGGACAAAGCTGAACGTCACTTCTGCTGCCTGCTTCTCTGCACAAGGACGCCAAATCCAGCTTCACATTCATTATAGGCAGCTACTAGTGATCCAAGACCGTTTGGGGAAGAAAGCCGCTGCTGCTAACATGGAAGAGGGAAAGCAGACGGACATCGTATCCAGAACCAAGATGATGGCAAGCATTTACCATGCTGTCTGGGGGTTCTGGGCGAACAGTGGTTAGCATTAAGGGGGCACTAAAAGGGTTCCTCTTTTTAGGATCCATCTCTATCTGCAAAGCCGGGTCACCCAGTGTCTGTTCCACTGTCTGTCCCAGTTCCTAAGCAAATCACTAGGCGCTGCTGCAGCTTTAACCATAAGCTTCCTTCTGGTTATGATGAGCCTATTTAAACCAAGAAGAAGTAACAGGAAATTGAGAGCCTTCTTTTCCCGGAGAAAGAAATGGGGATCTTTGGGCATAGATGTGTTGGCTCAGGATTGGACCTCCAGCCTGGGGTATGCCTTCCCTCCTCTGCTTCCTCGGATTCTACAAAAATTGAACCACTCGAGTTGCTATCTTATTCTGATTGCCCCTTGGTAGCCCAAGAGGACTTGGTTCACGGATTTTCTATTGAGGTCTGTTTTACCTCCTTGGGGTCTACCTTCCAGGAGGGATCTTCTGCCTCAAGGACCAGTGTTGCATCCAAACCCGAATTTTTTTCAGTTGACTGCATGGTTCTTGAGATTGTTAGAACAAAATGGATGTTTAGATAAGGTGACAAGACATTCTTCTTTCTACGGTAGTAGAAAGTTAGTAACTAGGAAAATCTATGCCAAAGTGTGGAAGGTCTTTTCTTGGTGTGTGCAAGCATCCTTTTAAACCTTTTTCTAGCATTTCTATTAAGAGGTTAAAAATTACTTTTTGTTTTGCTAGCCATTACCTCATCTAGAAGAGTTGGAGATCTCCAGGCATTTATCATTAAAGATCCTTACCTTGTCATTCTTCCTGATCCTCAGGCCAGGCCCTTTATATTTGGTGTTTGGAAAGAGGTGTTCCATACTCTAGACGCTATCTTCTTCGATATTTAGAAGTTACTAGAATTTTTAGAAAATCCAGTCATTTTATTTGTTTTATTTATTGGTGCCAGAAAAGGTTTAGGGATGCACCGATATATCGGCCGAAAATTGCACTTTTGGCTAAATGCCGAAAGTGCCATTTTCCTGCTGATACATTGGCGCATCCCTGCTTTCTTTCCTCCCCGCTGGGCGCTGCTCTGTGACAGCCAAGCGCTGCGGGAGGAGAGCGATGTGAGGGGGCGGCGTCTCTCCTCCCTCAACGCTCAGCCTCCTATCACAGTCTGGCAGAGCGGTGTGTGGGCGGAGACAGCCCGTGCTGTCACAGGAGGCTGAGCTCTCCTCCCTGCTCCGCTCGCTCAGCCCCCGGTGACGGCATGTCAGAGAGGAGAGCGGGTACAAACACTCGGCGATCAGTGATCGCTGAGTGACTGTAGATAATTGAGGACATGGTATGTGTACTATATCCTCAATTATGAATGAATGGGAAGTGATCTGCATCACCTCCTGTTCATTCATAGTTGTAGTTACAGTAAACACACAATGTTCTCAAGTTATGAATGAACAGGAACACTCAGAGGATTCCTGTTCATTGATAACAGAGGCTGCAGAAAAAGAGATGGAAGACTGTGTCCTCAATCTCTTTTTCCATTTTAAAAGGGAAATATCAGGGGTCTGTTTAGACCCCTAATATTTCCCCAAAGCCCCTAAAAGTAAAGTAAAAAATTGATAAATATAATTTTTTTAAAGTTTATAAAAAATAAATAAAAATAAAATATTGGAAAAAAAAATTTGAAAATTAAAAGCTTTCGGTTTCGGCCTGACAGTTTGTTTTTTTTTTGTTTCGGTTTTGACATTTCCATTTCAGTGCACCTCTAGTTTGTATGCATCTAGAACTTCTATAGCCAGACGCATTAGACAGACCATTGTTTGTGTATAGATCAGAGAATCAGGTTTTGCCTAGTTCACTAGGGCTCACTATACTAGGTCTTTAGCCACCTCCTGGGCAGAAAGAGCTGAGGCTTCGGTGGAACAGATCTGCACAGCAGCTGTTTGGTCAAGACAGGATACCTTCCTCAAGCATTACAGAGGGAAAATTCTGTCACAACAGGACCTTGCTTTCAGGAGAAGAGTACTACAATCTGTAGTCCCGCCCTGAGAAGGTAGGCTTGTGGGTGTGCTTGCTTATCCTCTCAGGTTGCCGTCCTGGAAGATGATTGGAGAAATGCTCTGTTAGACTGACCGGTAACGATATTTCTGTTAATCTTCCAGGAGGGCAAGCCTACTTCGCACCCAGGAGTATTCTGCTGTGTTATTTGATTTGGGTGAATGTTTTTCCCTCGTGCACTGGTGTTTGGTATTCTACTTTTATCTCAACTGAGGGACGAGGGTGGGGTGGGAGGTATTTTTAAACTGTTCTCAATTGTGTTTCCTGTAGATGGAGGAGCCAATCATCTCTCAAGTTGCAGTTTTGGAAGATTCATAGAAATACTGTTACAGGCAAGCCTAACGGAGCATTTGCAGAATATGGCATCCCAGATAGCCTGCAGGATTTACAGACCTTGCAATTCACCAAGTTTATTCTGGATGCAGATCTACTAATAGCATCTTTCCTAGTCCCTGGCCTATCTACACAGAAACAAAACAAAGTTGTGTACTTGCCGGGGGCTTCATTATGATGACTGCAAAAAGTGTGCTCATTAAAGGAGTTGCTGGATTGTTACTTGTGCTTGGTAAACTTCAATATTTTTTGTTACAGGTCGGTTCAGAGGAAACCTTTCTGGTAAAAGAGTAGATTTCTCTGGCCGTACTGTCATTTCCCCAGACCCAAATCTGCGTATAGATGAGGTGGCGGTTCCTGTTCATGTGGCAAAAATTTTGACTTTTCCTGAAAAGGTGATTATACAGTTATTTTGTTTAAAAATAGCTCTTCCAGACTTAATGCTTCTTTTATCCCCCTCTATGCTTTTGTGCAAGCATTATTTCTGCACCCAGTATGTTTAGTTATTAGCATCTCCCAGCTAAATCTTTAGTACTTGTTATATTTTGGATATTGTTTTGTGTGACTTAATAATTTATTTGACTTTTTGTTGAAGTAAAACTAAATAAGAGGGCTAATGTGAATATATCACTGGGAAGTCTGCATGAATAAAAGCTGCACTACAGGATTAAAGCCACCACTAAAATATATTAAAGGAGAACTATGACATGAGTGATTTCCACTCACGTCATAGTTCTAAGCCGACCTGTGACAAAGAGACTGTCACAGGTTGGCTCAGTAGATCGGGAGGTGAGGGAAAACATACCGGGTTCCCTCACCTCTTGATCCTGTCACGGCTCTCTGCCGTGACAGGGGGAGGGGCTGGATTCCACTCTCCCCGCTCCGATCTGCCAGCGGTGACTGGCGGAACGGACGGGGGAGGGGGCGGGTACAGCTGGCTCTGCCTCTAGATAGGCAGAGCCAGCTGTCACTCACGCAGCTGGGCGGATCCCGTCATCTAAGTCGGGATCCGCTCCAGCTGCGGCGTCTCAGTATACCGCGAGATGTAGCTCGCGGTATACTGAGCTTAGGGTGACGGGAGGACGCTAGTTTGTGTCCTCCCGTTACCCCAAGGGGAACTATGGGGAAAAACACTGACCCCATAGTTCTCCTTTAACCATTCTGATACAAGACAGATCACCTAAAAGCCAAGGCTGGGTGTGCGTGGCAAGGTATTTCTAAAGGTGCCCATACACTGCACGATTCTCGTATGAGAATCGTGGGAAATCCCGCGATCGTACAAGAATCGTGCAGTGTGAATGAAGACGTGCGACCGTTTCTACTGTACGGTCGCACATCTTTTGTCTAAGGAGCATTCTAGAAAACCAGCCGAAAATCTTACGATTTTCGGCTGGTTTGAATGATGGTCGGGAGACAAATGCCGAACGCATGCGCGCACACTGCCCCTTCAGCATTGCGGTCATCGCAAGCCCGCCCCTTAGGGGGGCGGGCTTGCGATGATTGCAAGTACGATCTGCCTGTCCAAGATCGTACGTTTGGGCAGATGGGCAGATCGTACGTTTTTAATTACTTTACAACCATGTAAAGTATGGTTGTAAAGTGTATGGCCACCTTTACATGTGACTAGTTAATTTTAAAAATGGGGCTTAAGCATTACATATTGCTTTATGCTACACTATTTTTTTGTGTTGGCAACATTTTGTAATTTTATTTATTTTTTATGCAGGTTAACAGCGCAAATATTAATTTTATGCGGAAACTTGTCCAAAGTGGACCAGATGTTCATCCAGGAGCCAACTTTATTCAGCAAAGACATACCCAGATGAAAAGGTTAGCCTCCTACCTTTGTGCCTGTGTTCAGATCTGTTTGTCTCCATCAAGTGAAGCTGATATATATACAGTGGCTTGCAAAAGCATTCACATTTTTCCTTTTTTTGTTGCATTACCATTTGGAATTAAAATGGATTTGTATTATATGCAAAAGACATACACAAAATAGTCCAAAATGGTGAAATGGGCAAATCAAATTACTTGTTTTTAAAAATTATAAAAAAATAAAAGCCGTAAAAGTGGTGTGTGCATATGTATTTACCCCCTTTTGCTATGAAGCCCCTACATAACATCTGGTGCAACCAATTACCTTCAGAAGTCGCATAATTAGATAAATAAAGACCACCTGTGTGCAATCTAAGTCGCATGATCTCAGTTTGTGTGTATAATATATATATATATATATA